CCACTTTACACAGTTGTGGAGAAAGCAGACTCTGCATCTCGCAGCCAACAACCCTGTAGGTTCCTAAAGTAAACAGACACGGCAGTAAAGATGCTGCTGTTTTTATTGCCTTCTAGGTGATCAGTATTGTGAAAATCCATCAGACACAAGTGTACCACCCACAAACTGCCAGAGCAGGGAACGTAGTGTCAGTTCTAGAAATAACGGATCTTTCTTGAAGGATAGGTGTCTATACCCATCAGCAACTGGGTCGTCAGAAGCCAGGGATAGATAGATAGATAGATAGATAGATAGATAGATAGATAGATATAGTAGCTCCTCAGAAATTGTTCACATTTTTAAAACAAAGGCCCAGGGCACAAACCTTGATGTTTAGGTGTGTGGACCAAGTCAAGGTGTTTGTTTTTATTAAATTACAACTGCAGGTGCTTCCTGTTGCAAACAGAGGCTTTGTCCTCACTCTCACTGCAGTGCAGAGTACTGGCCCCTTACTAAATGTCTGCTTTCATTTGTCTTTGATGGTTTAGAATAAGAAAATCAGGGCTAATAATCAGACTCAGATCTCTGCATATACAATTCTCTTTGTTTTTAGTTCTCACAAATGTCAGGAACCAAATAAGGAACGTGTACCCATCAGCCCACGTGTGCTCCCCCATGATGCTGTGACTCCTCCCTTTGGGAGCATCAGCTCTCAACTCCTCTCTTTGGGCTGGCAAATAGGGAAAGCTAAACGAAACAAGATCCTGTCTCCCTGTAGGCCATTTTCTGCCCCCAAAGATGCCAAGGGAGTGATGATAAAATTACAGCCATGCCTAAATTGCTGTTTCTCAGCTTCCTTCTCATGAGTGCTGGAACACTCTGAGGCTGAGAAGTAAGGTACCTTCATCACCTGAGTTAGAGACACATGGTAGCTGTAGGAGTCAGTCAGACCCGGTTCAGAATGTCACTTGCATAATTGGGAAAGCCATTGAAAACTTGGTTTTAGACCTGCCAGTCAAGGGAATTAGACTTGGCAGACAGATAGTGATGGTGCTCCAGGATCCTGTGTCCATTCCTTGTTCATCCCATTATCTGCCCATCATCCTCATGGTCACCCTGTCCCCACCCCCACACCAGCCAGGAGAAGCAGGAGGCATGCTCTCTGTAGATAAACAAAGAAGGACCAGAGGGGGCAAATCTACAAATAACTGCTCCTCCTAGTCACAGGAGAGGTGTCTCCTTGAAGAGCCAGGGCTGGGAGCTGTGTGAGCATCTGACGAGCATATCCTGCCACTCCCACCAGTGACAGGACCTCAGGGCAGGGCAGTGGACAGCTAGTGCTGAGTAATCCAGCAATCCTAAATGCATGTTGCCTGAAAACTAAACTCACCAGCGGTCTAGCTTCATACACAGAGGTCATGGCATCACAGATGGTTCCAGAGCTGTGTAGTACCCCCACCCCCAAGAGTGGAACAGGAACAGACCTGTCAGCCGTTCCCACCCACTGAGCCGGGGTGATTCCCACTGAGCCCCTCTACCACCATTGTGAACAGGGCCTTGAATCTCTGGAGCTCTGTCGTGGGTTGTTTCCTTACCCTGCCTTGTGTGCGTGTCTTTGCTGTGAGCAGATCACCTCATCTCAGTGTGTCCCTGCTCCAGTGGCTTCTCTGCTGATGCCCCCTGTGGTTTTCACACAGTTCACCTGTGCCCCACTGAGGGAGACTGATAATGGGCTCATGCCCCTAGGAGGCCAAGAACTTGCTGCTGCCTCCTCCAGCCTTCTTCTGCCCCTGCAGAACTGGGAATCCTCCACCATGGCCAGCAGGCCCCTCACCAGGCTGCAGCTCCAGGAAGCACTGCTGAACCTCATCCAGGTAAGACTGTCGACCTACTGGTGGGCACCATGGCAGACTATATTTGCTGATGCCTTCTTTGGATGCCATAAGAGTAACCCCCACCTCCAATAGCTTCTAAATACAATTAACTGTGTGATATTTAGAATACTACTATGGCCTGAGATATCTCAGGCCTTCAAGAGATTTGTGCCAGCTGCAGGAAAGGGAGTGTGTGATGGTTGGCTAGTCAAGGCACTCCGGGAGCTCACTGTTGGGAGCAGTCACAGAGCCAGCCATCTTGGGCAAGCTACAGTTGTAGGCCGCACCGGCTGTGACTGCTATGAACATAGTTCAGCTATGGTTTTGAAACCTACTGTTCAGGAGAGGGTGGAATGATAGGGTGCCTTGTCAGCCCTGCCTTGAGTGTCTCGGCTATACTGTGGTAGTAGCGCCTACCGTACAGTGTGCCATGCACTGTTTAATAATTCATTCAGTGCCTATAGGAAAACCTATTAATATGAGCCAATGAAATCAGGTAAAGGGGCTTGCCACCAAGCCTGATGCCCCAGTCTTCTGACCACGTGTGTGTTGTGGCATATCCATACCTACACACACATCTACACACACATACACACACACACACACACACGTATAAAAACAATTAGAGCCTTGTATTTGTCTGATTCTACAGGGAAATTGAGGCTTGTGTTGGTCTGGTGTTACACTGAGCCTGGTTGCAGTGTTCATGTCTCCTGTTGTGTGGACCATGTAGATTAATGTGTCAAGACTAGAGCACCATGTATCTGAGCACACTCCCAAGTGAGTGACAAGCCCTGGAAAGGGTAGTTCTTGAAACCACACAGAAGCAGACACCTCCACTAACGTGTTCAGGAATCTTCTTGAAAGTGTTTGTAGCACTCTGTTCCTCCCCGGACCCAGCAGCAGGAGAGCAGGCCAGCCTCTGTGGTTGTCTGGTTCTTCTGCCGATGTCTAGTCCCTATTAGTGAAAACATTTCTAAGATAAAGTTGTCTTAGAGAGAATGAAAAGGATGGGACTGGCAGCAAACATCTGAATGGCAGTCCAGGATGTGGAGCCTTCCTGTTTTAATTATGTCACTAATCTTAAATATATGCACCATGATAGAAATATAGCCCACCTGCTCCCAATGAGTTTGTGAGAATTTAAAACAAATATCTGCACATTTATTTACCAGAACAATGAAGAAAAAACTAAACCTAAGTTTAGATTTTTAAAGATGCTTGCTTTTTATGGCTCATTCCAATTCTCATCACATTACCCTAAGGGTATATGTTGTGACTTAGATGGTTCACACTTCTACGTGTTGTGGATTTCATCTTCCTGATATATTTGCTAAAAGTCACTTGGGCATCTTTGTAGGAAAAGCAGAAATAACATCTCTTTCTTCGTGGCGTGAGAATGGCGCTAACTGTGGTATGGGGAGGGAGTAAATCAGGAAGGTGAAATGTAGTGACTACAGAAACTGTTGGATTTGAGTGGGAGGGGAACGCCTCTAGCATTAATCAAGAGAACTACTGCTTAGACCCAGAGTTCTCTCCCCTCCTTAGTGAGACAGAGGCTCAGAGACTACCTATCTACCACTGTACATTTGCCAAAACCAGAGACTTCCCACAGGTCATGGGAACAACCATGCTGCTTTTGTGAAGGTACCAATAAGCCAATCTGTGGGTAAAATCCCTGTGAATGCCCCCAACAGTGCAGACATTGTGGGCAACCTGGAGGATTTTTAGGAAGGACCAGCCAACTCCTAGGCTGTTGCCAAGGGACTGTGACTCATACCTTCTGGCCCATCCGGCACACAGCACAGCTGGCTTCCGCGTGGCGGGGTTGCTATCTGTGTCGGGTGCTATGAGCACATGGTCTTCACATACAGACTGTTAAATCCAGCAGCTCTGTCCCAACCTTGCCTCCAGCCCCTTTACGTCCACACACACCGGCCAACCCTGCTGTCAGCACAGACAGCAAAGTTAAGGCACTGAACCCAAGGTCAGCTCAGTCCAGGCAGGAAGCCTTGACTTCTGCTACTCAAGTGACGGTCCCCTGGGCCTGTTGGCTTTGTTTTCCAGAATGATGACAGCTTCTTAAGCATAATCTATGAAGCCTATCTCTTCAGTGTGACACAAGCAGCCATGAGAAAAGCCACTTAACCAACTACGTGAGAACAAAGACTGAGAATTGATTTTCCAGGTCCTTCCTGTGAACTGTGTGACCAAACACATTCCTGCCTTTTTAACAAAGTATAATAATACAAAGTAAAGTGGTTTTGTACTGTCCAATATCTTGGGGTTTTGTTGTTGTTCTTGTTCTTGTTTTTGAAGAATCAAATTCTCCTGCATACTAATTGAGTGGGTAGATGGTTTGCGTTCAGGTCATATAAAATTAAATTTTTCCTACATTTATAAGGCCATTTTAAGAATTGGGCTCTTCATAGGAGGGGATGTTCTCAGAGCTGTTTATTAATAGCTCAAGCTAAAGAGAGCAATTTCCTAGTGTTGGGCTCTGTGCGCCATGGTGCTTGATAACCACCAGGGGGCAATGTTACCCCACAAGTTACCTACTAAAGGTTTCCTGAGCTCTTGGAAGCAATGGTGATTGTTAACAAAGTCAGACTTTCATTTGTAAAGCTCCATTTGGCATGTTTGATCTGAGCCTCTGGGGAGAGAATCTTTCTGAAGGTATATCTAGCCAGTTTCTATCTAGAAGGTGTCAACAGTGGCCCAAGACTTGCAGCAACACTCACATTCCCTAATTCAGGTTACTTCTTGGGACACACACACAGTAGGACCAGCCTGGTCTTGCTTTCAACAGACACTCACATTTAGAAAATATGCTGAAGGGGAGGTAGCATGAGACTAGGTAGTGGCTATTCAGGGGCAGAAGTTCAAAGATTCTCCAGGCCCTGCAGCAGTCCTGTTGCTGGGCCATGTGCAAAGAGACCTGGAGCATAAACCTAGAGGGAGGCAGAAGAGCCTTGCAGTCCCCAAAGGGCACACGTGGAAATTGACCCTGCTGCGTGCGGATGCGCAAAGAATAAAGCTTCATGATTTTAGCGTCTTAGTAATTCCTGAATCATAAAAGGGTCTTTGGCCTAGAGCTTTCTAGAAGAATCTTATTCTTTTTAAGGAGAATTTAAAATGGAGGCCCAGGTGGGATGGGATTTCCTTACAGCTTTGGGCTCTGCCCATCCATCGCAGCAGCAGGAGGAGCACCACCTGACCTGTATGAGGACAGGTGTGCTTTCCCCTGAGGCAGAACGGAGGGCTGAAGAGGAACTGAGCTCTGCTCGTCCGTCCTCACTGTGCCCTGTGCCTTGCCCTGCATCTACTGTATCAGCCTCTGGAAGGGATGTCTCCCATACCACCCAACTCTGCTATGAGCCCATATAAGTCTCTCAAATATTCAACAGTAATTATACACATCTCTGTAGTCTTACAAGGAGAATGAAGCAAGAGAGACATCCATGGTTCTATGGTCCTAAATCAGTAAAAACAGCATCACGCTGGTAACATGTCTATTAAAATTGGAGCAATATTAGATTGGCAATGTACCTCCCTGATAGGGCACTTGCCTATATAAGGTTCTGGGTCAAATGCCTAGCACTTAAAAAATGTTATTTAGCCAGTGACCAGTTTTTTAAAATGTGGTTTGGTGATAAATAAAATAAAATAGTGGAAGACATTTAAAAGCTCTCTAACTGCATGTTTAAAGATGCATCTGTAGCCAGGGCAAGATGAATTCCATTCTTAACGTTTCTCATATGTTTGTTTCAATGAATAGCTTTATTTCATAAAATAGTTTCCCTTTCTTCACATGAATAAGCAAAACTGTAGCAGTAGCAGCAGCAGCTGCCGCCCAACAGAGCAAGGCAGGATGGGAGGTCAGAGGACATGCAGCCTTTTTAGGCCAATGCTACAGTGATCTGTTTTGACAGAATGGCAGGTTCTCCATTGTCCACCGTAGTAAACAACAAGTCGATTCCTTTAGACCAAAGATGCCACCTGCAGGACAGTCAGGATGGGTGCTTACCTCCTTACCTCAGCAGGTGAGGGTTGCCTTCTACAGAGCTTTGAGGACACATGGACACAGGAGGGATCAGAAGGGTTTTCTAGGCACCCAGGACTGAACTTCCTATGTGAATTAGCATTTCCTCTTCCCATGATCCTCCTGAACTCACATTCAGCTTCCATTTCAAGATCTCTGCCCCAGCAGCAGTTTAGCCTGGAATTTCAGGTAGAGCCTGGAGTACTGTGCCTAAAGGCAGCTTCATCCAGGGTGGTGAGTGTCACCTTGCAGAGCCAAGGGAATCAGGTGGATGGGAGTAGAAGGTGGAGCATGAGTGGAGTCTCCTGGCCCTGCCTTCAGCCCTTGGACAAGTCTCTTTATGAGACACCTTATTATGAATTGAGAGACCTCACAGAGTCCAGAAGACTAAACTGTTATGGTCCAGGACTGCCTGCCAGCCATTGGGAATGAGCCACAGCTTCTGGGGTGGGAGGCTTCCAGCCAGTGCCCTGACAGTATATGCCTGAGGGCCACCTTGCTATGCACCCCCTACTTTATGGATGCAGTGGAAGCAGCCATGCCCCTTCTTTATGAAGGAATTCATGGGCTGCCACAGTGATGTCACTGTAATCCTGTGCCTGCCCCTGACTTGCAGGTAAAGTTCTATGTTAAGTTCCCATCGTTGTGACAACAACCCTGTGATGAATCCGCTCAATGAATAAATGTTTTACTTTGGTACAGATCCCAAGGATTTTTAGTGTGTGGTCGGCTGGCTTTATTAATGTGGGATCTGTTTATGTGAGGCAGAAAGCCATGGTGGAACAAAGCTGTTTGTCTTGTGGCAGCCAGGAAGCAAAGAGGAAGAAAAAGGAGGTCTGTGCTGGTTGGATTTATGTCAACTTGACACAAACTGGAGTCATCGGAGAAGAGGAAACCTCAATTGAGAAAATGTCTCCGTAAGATAGGGTTATAGGCAAACCTGTAGAGCATTTTCTTATTAGTGATTGATGGAGGAGAGCCCAGCCCATTGTGGGTGGTGCCATCTCTGGGCTGGTGGTTCTGGGTTCTGTAAGGAAGCAGGCTGAGTAAGCCATGGGGAACAAGCCAGTTAGTAGCACCCCCCATGGCCTCTGCATCAGCTCCGGCCCCATATTCTTGCCCTGCTTGAGTTGCTGTCTTGTCTTTCTTCAGTGATGAACTATATGATATGGAAATGTACGCCAATTAAACTGGTTCCTCCCAACTTGCTTGTGGTCATGGTGTTTCATCATAGCAATAGTAACCTTAACTGGAACAGGGTCCCAGCATTCCCTTCAAGGGTCTGCTTCCAAAGGCCTCGCTTCCTTCACACTGTCCACTACCTCCCAGTAACATCACATATTGGGGACCAAAGCCTTTAATACATAGGTCTTTGGGGGACATTTCAAATCAAAACCACAGCAAGCAGCTGTAGGTCAGAGAAGGCAGATGTAGGTCCCAAACATTCTGAAGACAGGCCACCCCATCTCCCCACTTAAACTAGACAAGATGGCCACTGCAGTGGGAGAGAACCTGTGTTTGCATCTTCAAGAACTGTCTAGCATGACAGCCAGCCCTACTGCTACTTAGCCACTTGCAACCGGCTGTTTCCAGCCCTTTCAAAAGCCAGGCCTAATTGTAGCTCCAGACAAGACATACCATCACCCATAAAGCTCAAGGGACATGTGGAAGAGAGGGTAGAAGTATGTAAGGGCCAAAAAATAAGAGTAAAAGGCAACAAAATGCCACTATTTGGATTGATGACAATTGCGGTCATTCAGTCACAGCTGTAGGTACCCATACTGGCCCACACAAGACTTCCCTATCAACAAGTCAAAGAGGGGAGCTCACAAGGACCTCCGCTTTACCTCTGAAATACCAGCTGTGATTGGTAGACTGGGAGAGGGATACCACATTAGTTATTTTTAGATGTGTACCCATTGCTGAGCCCACCGGATTCTAACAGGTAGTTCCAGATCCATGGGCACATCACTGACATCCCAGATGGCCCTGGGATGTCAGTGAGTCACAAAGCAAAACAAATAAACCGGAACACAGATTAGAGGCGGGGGGGGGGGGGGGGGGGTGGGGGTGGAACAAATTTAATTCATAAAAAGAAAAATACAGCACACAAAGTACAGACAATACAGCATTAAAAAAGAGAGAAAGGCCCAGGGCAAAGCTGGAGTTCCCTAAAGGCATAAGTTGTTGGTGTCATTCTGCTTTCAGGCCCTGTTTCCTCTTGAGCAAGGTTGGTACAAATGGGAAACAGAACATCTCTCCTCAAGAAACCCCAGCACTGAGCGTCTAAGCATGCCCTGTTCTCTCTCATAGTGTTAAAGAGAAACCACCAGTTTCGTATGGCAGGCCACTTCCCTGAGCCCCAAATGTGGTGCTAAGGATGGCTAGCGTACATAAGAAATGAGCACTCGGCCCCAGGTCCTGTTGTCTTCAGCCATGAGCCAGCCGGAGTGCAGAGAAGACAAGCCTGACAGGAGTGCTAGGGTGACCCGAGAATGGGGTCTGCAGGCCATGAGGACAAACCTGCTGCTCATTCCTACTTGCAGCAAAGAACCCGTTCCCCCTTCAAATAACGTCTGCTTCATCTAGACATGGCCTCTCCCTGTTTTCGGAGGAGTCGGTTTGCTTCCCAGCTTTGGAGGATTGAGTCATTGTTAAGGTTAATTTGTCATTTACAGCCAGCTGGTTGTAGCCATGCTTTGTCATGTGACATTGGCTGGCTGCACATATTGGTAAGCCTCTCTCCAGTGCAGTGGGGAGTACTTGACTTGCAGATTGCAAATGCTTGGCACCCCAACCCTCTTACAATTAGGGAGCTAGAGGGGCGGTTACAGACTCTCGGTGTGTTTAACCCAACCTTGCTTATCCAGACAGATTTTCACCAAATTTAGTTCTGAGTAATGTCTTCCAACAGCTTAGGGCTCCAAGAAAAGTACACAAATAAAAACCGTGTGTGCAGACTGTGGTCTTAAACACCAACAGGGAGGGGAAAGCACATCGCTGTAGGTAATGAATGGTCTCCAAGGGCCAGGAAGGCAGCATGGCGGGGCAGGGCGTGTGCTGAGCTAGCTCTGAATGCAGCTGAGTCCGGGAGCTACTGGAGATAGAAGTGAATGGAACTCAATGCCTGGCAACTTGACTAGGGACATGGCAGAGCGGAAGTAAGGGGTGTTCTAAATAGGCAAGAGAAGGGGTTGTGAGCCAATCTGACAGTTTTCCTCAGAAGTGTGAGGACCA